AGTTATTGATGTTTTTATGTTCAAAAAAAACTATGGTAAAATTTTGATCACATTATTTGCCGAAGATACCACTTATTCTGTTTCGTTAACGTTGATTTTAATTTTATCGTTTGATGTTATTTTCATAAGTTTAAATGTTTCCGGAGTTGGACTATTTTTAACACCATTTTACTTTTGCTCAATTTTTCTTTCTTATTCATGTCTCTCTACAGAACCGTGAAAGCCAAACAACTGAAACGGAACTGACGACTGACTGACGACTGATCAACGATCACTGAGGCATCGTAGGACAGCCATCGTTGATTGATGAACTTCAGTGCTCGTTAAGACCGTTAAGCTGTCTGAGTATAAAGGTGTAAGAAATTGCTAAAAATGGAATGCTATTGTTGTGTCTTAAAATCTTTTTTTTTTTTTCTTTTTTTTCTTTTTTTGCAAAGTGTGGGAAACATTTGAAGAACAAAAAATGAAGAAAAAAAAGTGAGGAAAAAGGACATCAATAAGAACAAAAAAATTTCTTTTTTTTTGACAAACTTAACAGATTAAATTTTATAGACAATAATATTTGTTTATTAATCATTTTTCTTCTTTTTTTTTCTTCTTATTTTTAGAGTTCTAAAAATTTAATCTTAGTAAGAGCCAAAATCGGGGTGACATTTTGGCTGTGCAAAAATCACTGCCTTTAATGTGTATGCTAAATTGCTGTACATTTTGCTGTTGTTGCAATTTTGCTGCTACTTTTCAATCTGTATGACTGTTTTTTTTTTCTTCTGCTTCCGCTGATTTTTTTTCTCATTATATTTTAAATAAAAATTAAAAACAAAAATAGAAAAAACACATAAGATTTTTTTTTTTACTTTTTATTTGTTGAGGTTGTTGCTGAAAAAGCACTTTTTTTCCACTTTTTTTTTTTACAATTGTTGTTAGTGCTGCTGTAAGCAAATATGTTTATACATTAAGAAAAAGAAAAGAAAAAAAAAAGAAAAAAAGAAGAATGAAGAAAAAAAGACAGAGTTGTAATTAAATTTTTATCAGTTTAAATTATTTTTCCATTAATGAATCATTTATAAAAAAAACTTGAAAAATTAAAAAGGTAAAATGAAACTGACTGTGAAACAAAATGAGAAAAAAAAAAAAGAAAGAAAAGAACTAAAATCTTTACAGCTGCTTCAAAGGGTTTTGACTTAGTAAAGGTGAAAAAAAATATTTCCTCTTTTTTGTTTATTTTAAATTAATTAAATTTTTTTCTTTTCTTGTTTTTAGCGATATTATTGAACGAAGGCAGAAAAAAAAGTAGAGGTAAACAAAGAGCCAAGCAGAAAAAAAAAGTGATCAACAGTTCTAATAATAGTATAAAAATAATTTAAATAAAAGACTGTTTTTTTCTCCGGCAAATGATTTATCCAAAAAAAAAAAAAAAAGTTATATTCTGCTTTTTAGAGCTGTTTAGGAAAACCAATGAACATTGCACTCACTCAGTTTATTTGCTTGTCGTTTTTTTTTTT